AAGTAATTAGATCTCGTTTGTCACGATTGAATTTCTTTAGACGGGAATTAAGTATGCTGTTTAACTTTGAAATATCAAGCATCAATGATTCTCAGCTTTCGTGTAGAGCAAGGATATCTTCGGTGTATCTTCGCGCGTTCATCCTCTTTATCAGGGGAGAATGGGATCACCGGTTGGCGAAATATTTCCATGATACTCCTGGCCTATTTTTCCTCCGCCATCACCGGCGAAATGTTATCCGATCCTTTCAGCTACTCGTTGAAAGATTCACGATAAAACGTGTGACAGACGTGGCGCCCTATCTGATACGCTATTCGTTTTCGTGTTTTCACGGATAGAGGTTTTTATTTTGGATTATGTTACCCCAGAGGTCGGTGGATATGGAAACATAAAACCACCGGGTATATATTTTTGTTTCTATTCTATATTATTCAAACAATTTATTTATCCAGGATGAATTTTATGAAAATCTTGATTTAATTTTATGGTGTCTCAACCTAAATTTCGCAACGGAAGCCCAACTGCCAAGGCACAGCCAGTAAGGAGGCTGCCTTGGGGTACAATGGTCCCCAAGGACCTAATAATAATAATAATAAATTAATTTTATAATGGGATATATAAATGACAAGAACAGTAAAAATAAATTTATCCTCAACTACCGTTTACCGCCCCCGAGCAGAACATTTCCTTGCTCCGCTCGTACTATGTGATAAACAAGTAATAACGTTCGAAAATACGAGATGTTTCGCGTGCACCGGTATACGAGCTCTAAAAATTCTATCCCCCGTGCCCGACTATTTGTTCGGAATAAAAATTGAAAATTGAGAGCATTCCAGGGAAATTTCACAACGCGCCTTCCGCAAAGTTGAAATTATTATAATACTAGAATCTTTTGAATATATTTAATTTAACCTTCCGAATACTAACAACCCCTGTGTTCAACGAGTTAATAAGAAAACGCGAGAAGATCGATTGCAGGCATAAAGCATGATACAAATAAATTGCACCGCTCCTAGTGGATCCAGCACGTAATTGGCCGGATATTTTTCTCAATTAAAACCGTAATACCGTTTCGCCGGTAAGTTTCCTTCGTCCTCTCGGACCAGTGTAAAAATGAACAAGCCGGTTAGTAATGTCGATCGATATCCGGCCAGACTGCTGCTTCTACTACTGCTGGAGATTGTGGGGCACGCGGAAATTACCTGCGGAAATTTCATTTCGTTGGGTTAGGCTCTAATACCGGTAGTAACAGACGGAGAAGAGGTATTGCTGAATACTAGATCAGATCGGGCCGACAGGATGCTATCGGGACAGGTATTTTATCGCTAACAGCCCTCTTTTGCTATGGATCGTGCTTTTAAAGACAACAATCGCATGGTAAAGCATCGTTTCGATGAGAGATTATTGCATATCAAATATAATAAAAAATATTACTTCTGTTGAATTATTAATAAAGTTAATGAGGAGAAAAATGTTTGAACGTAATGAGAAACCCTGATCTAAACAATCTGTAGAGAAGCCTACACTGGTGGAATTAATTCTGGAAACTTTGAATAAAAATATGTGCAGAAAATGTATATTCTGCTATGCTAAATTAATCCTGTAATAGTTTTATTGTAATCTATAATGTTTATACTTAATATTTTCCCATGATTTGGTTTGTAAATGTTTTAAAATTTTAATTTAAAAAAATCTAAACTGTGTTGTTATTTTTGTTTTTCCGCCTGGCAACGCGAAACTTCGCATGATGTAAAATAGACAATCACAGGATGAAAGGATATCCAACGAAATATTAATTTTTTTCTACCTCCTTTGATGTGTTGAAAAAAAGTATGGCTGTAAATGGTCTTTTTACTGATTTTTTTATACAGTGTGATTCTCTCGGCGCGTAACACAATAACCGTGCCGCACAATGGAACCCCTGCTGTTCCGTTTCTTGTCTTCGTCTCAGCCATAAACACACACAGAGCAGTCTTGGGTCCGGCGATATGGCCCCTGGGTCTCTTTACCCGCAACAACCGCAGGGTTCCATTGTGCGGGACGGCTATTGTGTTGCGCGCCGAGAGAATCACCCTGTATAAGCTACGCCCTAAAATTAGAAAACAATGGGGTGTTCGACAACAGGTGGGAGATTTTTTAACGGGTGATTCTAGAGATCAAAATGAAACGAAAATTAAAAATGACGAAATAGCGTTTGCAGCTTTGTTTTCCAGTAATTAACTTTTAAAAATTCGAGTAAAAAGCGCCTAAAACCTGCGATCTGCCCAACACCGACGACAAATAGATAAATAGAAAAAGTTTCTACTATTCAATGATTCTTGGTTATAACTGTACCCACCCCTACTGACTTGACATTCAGTCATTCAGTTTTTTACTCGAATTTTTAAACGTTAATTCCTGGAAAACGAAGCCGCAAACTTATTTTCATCCCTAGAATCACCCCTTAAAAAATCTCCCACCTGTATATTAAATAATTTGAATAAATGCAAAATTTAAATAAAAATTTAAAAGTGTCCAGAATTAATTCCGCTAGTGTACTATGCTCGATACTATACATAGTGCATGATGAGGTGATAAATGATAAGGGACGATAAGTAGGGGACCGAGACGCCCGTATAGTACAAAAGGGATCAGAAAGGTAGGGATATCGTAATGGATATGGTAGCAGATTCTGAACCCAAGGATTCCAGGTTCGTGCTATCCAATCTCCTATTCCTCACAAATTCCTGCACAACAAATTTCGGAGGAATTCCCTGTCCGAATCCTGAAGATTAGTATTAGTAATTCAAGGTACAAAGTAATCTAGTTCGATCGAATTCCTGTGTCATCGATGACAGAGCTTAGGAAAAAGCTCTCGTCGTTCAGCTGCTACCGTAATGGGTACCACCCATGAAACTTGCACATTCGCTAGCGTAGCTGGTGCATCCGTGTACTATGAAACTATGTACGCGTCGAAGTTGAAGAGTCGAGTTTTCGCCGTGATGATTTGAAATTTACCGAAATACAAGCGGCGAAACAGTTCTCGAAACGTTTCGTTTTAATTTCGTGGAATTTTCGAGCACCTCATTAACCAGACGTACTAATTGAGTTTACTTTGACTTCGATGTTTGAAACTCCAAAAGCTTTCGAACTCTCGGCCGTGTAACTTCTTCCGTGGAGAAAGGAGAAACCTGAGAGAGGTCGATGGGGAAAAATGAAATGACATTGCGTGGAAATGCAAATTCTGTAAGAGTTAAGGTATCGGTTTCGTTTACCTTGCGGAAATTCATCGATCGACGTACCGTCAAGGCTACAATCCCTCGGCTGAAACGCCACGAACAAATAATTGAACGCGATGAGCAAACGGAAACCCGAGCGATCCATCAACGATTAAAGGGCGCGAGGCTTTTTAACGAGTCGACTCGAGTACCCTTTACTTCAAAACTGTTATCTGATTTTCACAAGACTGATAATTCAAGAATGAAACAGCTAACGTCGAACAGGATACAAGTGTTTAAACAGCGTACTTAGGCGACTGGATAACTCAGCATCCTTAATCTCTCGCGTTGACTTAACGCAAACTATGAAAGCTTATGCTGATTAGCAAATACGCTCAAGTTTGTAGGAGGTTAATCAAAATCAGGGAGAGAACGGCGGTGGTTGCTGTATCAAGAGGATCCCTGAGTATAATACAGGCCTATTCAACGCGTCTGAGAGATTCACTCGAATCCCAATGCATCCTGGTTACCTTTCAAACGATGCAGTCACAAATTGTCGACGTTTCCGATGCATCGAGTACAATTCGTTTCGCGATCGTTCAACGAGTGTGAATAATAGGATGTTCGAGGAGACAGAAAGAGATATTAACCGTGGGAAACTTAATTACCTCTGAAGCGAGTAGTTAACCAAAATACGAGAGGATACAAGGGGAAAAAGATAAATACGCCAACGTCGACGGGGTTAATTAACGCTTGCAAGTGTACCTGTAATCACAATTAGACGCGTAATGCAAGTAGACGTTAACACTTTCTTTCCTTCGAATAACTGTTTTGCTCGTTTACTGGTGCCGGTTATAATTAAGTGTGTTTCTTTGATTCTATGATTTATAAAAGCGACAGACAGCTTCAGTTGAATACTAGGGGGGTTATAACGATGTACACCCGCGTGCAAAGATATCTACTTTTAAAAATTCACGATTAAACATCTACAGTGGATGATCAAATTATTAGAGCCACTCGCATAAATTGATGATTTTATATAAATATCATTAACATTAGAATTACCGGTGTTTGATGCACACTTATTTTTAAGTTGAAAATAATATAGAAAATTAAATAGATAAAAGATGAAACATAATTTAATGTACCTCGGTAATAGCCATAAATTAAAAATAAGAAACTTGAAATTAGTCATTTTGACTTGGTGGTTCTAGTGTTAATTCTTACATGAAAATCGAGTTAAACGAAGTTTTTCTTATTTTTTTATGATGTATTGATACTTGAAAAATTATGATACACAGTTGAAAAAAATGAAAGTTCTTAACTGGCCTAGAAATTCTTCGGACCTCAACCCCATCGAAAAGTGGAAATATTTATTATTAATAATAAATGTCAATTGATTGAACGTTTGATAGAAATATAGATCAGAAATAAAGTAATCAAAATGAATTGCTTAAAATGCAGTAATTGCAGCAAAAGGCGGTGTAAATATAATCTTTTAAATGTACTTGTTTATTCTTATAAGTACTTTTTTTGTATATTATTAATGGAGGATTATTGATTAAAAGTTACCCAATGTAAAAACCTTAAAATATTGGTTTTATTTCTTCCCAAACACGAAAAACCCATTTTTCATACCATGGCTCTAATCTATTCAAATATTATGAAAATTATTTCATGAACGATATAAAAATCAAAATATTGATTATTTATATTTCTGAAAAAAATTAATTCTATAATTATATCTTTAGAAAAATATCCTTACATAGTTATTCAATAACATTGTTTTCCATTGGATTTCAGATATTGCTGGTGGTTACCTGTGCTTTGTCGTCAGCATATGCGGAATCGGTGTGGTGACGGCAGTTATTGGGGACGTGGCATCCTACTTCGGATGCACTTTGGGAATCAAGGATTCCGTCACCGCAGTGGCTTTCGTCGCGCTTGGAACTAGTATCCCCGGTAAGTTAACGTTCTTTTTTAACAAAACTCCTTATCTCAAAACATAGCATGTTAAGTGTCTGATCGCATGAATAAGAAAAATCCATTAAATATATTATACCTTATAAAAGTAGCAACAAGATCTCTAGATAATCTCTCAAGAAATTATTTTGAAATAAGAACAATAAAATTCCGACATTCTGTGATTTATTTACAATTACTCCCATAATCTCGTCGCAGATTACCATAATATTTCTAGTTATGATTTTATATATGTATTCTAACCAAAGGAAGTTTTTTTATCGCTGAAGGACACGCAATCGTTTCGCGGTTAAGGGTTGAACTAATCTTCTAATTGTCGACACTTCTGCAGGCTTAACAATCACACGATGTCCTTGGTAACGCGCACGGCTTTTTCCACTCGAAACGACTCGTTCTTAATTACCGCTAATTGTACCCTCTCATTGAAAAAAAAAAAGAAGACTTATCGTCCATCAGGATTTCGTCATGTAGAAAATTCCTTAGGAAAAAATCCTGCGCCCGTTTTGAATCGGAATTACTGCTCAAAAAAAAAAAAAAAAAAATCAAAATATCGCGTACTGTTTTACAGCGAAGGCTGCAATTCCGAGGCTTTAATTTTCTGAACGAAATCACCGTGTCACGGAATTCGTGCAAAGTTCGATGCGTGTGTTAACGAGACGGCGATAACAGCGGATACTCTGAAACTGGCTCGAAAACACAATTTGCAACAGAACAGAGAAACAAGAGGTAGAAAATGGATATAGACCGACCGGGTAACCGTTTCAGTTAAACCACTGACAAACTATTAACGTTATCGAATAAGTGTGCGTGAAATGTGCATCGAGGACAACCGCTAGCCGGTAATCAAAGTACACCTCGTTTCGCGGTTTGCCGAAAGACACTACAGAACAATTGGAACCGATAGATTAGATATGATAGAAATTTTTTGAAGAGAAAACTTGACACAGAAATACTTCTTTCAAAGGATACCTTAATCTTCTACAAGTGGAATCCTTTGAAAATTTTAATGATACGACCTTTCATACTTGTCCAACGTTACAGAACATTAGTCAATTTGTATTTAACATTATTGGACGATTTATATTAAAAAACCGAATGAAACAGCCGCAGAATCTAATTAACCCTCGCGGATGAAACTGGGCTTGTATAATACCAAGAATCTTTTAATTAAACGTTGTTACGTTAACTCGCTTGCTTTCTCGTTCGAACGCGAATTCCCTCTATTCACGAAGGAATCTATTCAACGAAGGCGCGTTTATTTCGTCAAAGAAAAACCGAGGGAGAGATAGAGAGAGAGAGAGAAAATATAAATTTTGTAACGTCGCGGTCAAGACGGCTGCTTTTTCAGTCGGCGAGTGGGCTCTTTTGAGAAAATCAAGTATCAGCTTATTGTTGAATAAAAGGATAAAGGCCACGATAAGCAGGTCTCTTTCAACGTTTTTCTTTTTTTTTTCACTCTACCCTTTCCTTCAGAAATTTCTCTCTTTTGAAGGCCGGCTTTTCCGTTGCCAAGGAAAGGGCTGTTCTGAAACAACCTCCACAAATGTGGAGATTTTTTAACAACCTCGTAAAATATTCACGCACGTATTCACCGTGACGTGCGGGGAATATCGTCTTGGAATAACTATAAATTCACCTTGCTCGGTACGTTGCGCGTCAGCTCGAATGCATGGATAAAACTAACGCGAGGGTAGCTCGATAAACATGCCGTAATTCATGGCGAACATAAAAACTTCAAATAAAGCTTATCGTCTAATGTACCGCCCGTTTCACGCTTGTAGAACGTATACTAATTAGGACTTCACAACATTGACGTACGACGTATGTCATAAAAGATACTGTTTATGAATTTACGTTAACTACCATCCCGTCGATGACGAAGTCAGTGTTAAAGAGTTAGGCCACTCTAGAATTTTGAAAAAATCGAAATTTGTTATTTGCTTAAAAGGTGCCTTAATGTCTTAAAAATGACACGGTTAAAGATTATGGGTGGAAAAAATTTCTAAGTACTCGAATTTACTATTACTGAAGATTTTAAACGCATTTTTCTCAAAACCGCATTTTTCAAACTGGCCGAACTCGTAAATTAAACGGATCATCACCAATCGATTTGAAAATTTAACAGTATATTCAAAACTAAATTCTCTATCGAACTACGTAGGATTTTTTCATTATATTGCACAGTTCTTTTGTTGTAAATAATTTTCTTAAAATTTTACATTTTCTCTTAACACATATGCCATTTTTGCAGAAATCAATATATCAAAAAAATCCTACTTAGTTCGGTAGCTGTTCTAATATATAATCGAAAATATTTTGGTATTTTATTCTAAGTTAAAAATTGCAAGAGCTGCTGGAATCACTATACAAAAATTAATTTTTAAAGTTTATTAGTTGTAAAATAAAGGCATGCTTACAGAATTTGGATTTATTCCGTTAAAAAAAAAAAAAATTCCCAAAATATACCTATTTTTTCTTGCTCTAGATTGGCCTAACCTCTTAATTCAACTTTCGCTCGTCAAATACGAGTCGACGAAACTGTAACCGCGAACGATGTAAAACGAGCGGCGTAAAGGGACGACGAAAGCCGCAACGATGGACCACGAAAATGCAAATGGGCACGGAACTCGATAAAAGCTGCAAGAACTGATTTATTTCGATAATCATACGTGTACACAGCCCTTACGTGCATACGACATGCGCGAATTGATAAACGCGTTTGCACGTCGTTCATGGTGCTTTTTACGGGAGAACGGATTTCCAGGACAATTCTATTCGATTCCGTGCGACATCCTGGCTTAGCCTGGAAAATAAGCGACACCAGAGACGCTTGTCCTTGCGGAAACATAAAATTTATTTGACGATCCTTTTGATTCGTCCACATCAACGACGCACCCTATGCGTCATATATTTTCTATACGAAGCAACTGATGACACACCGTATACGTCATATGCTAATTATACGAGAGATACGACGACGCACCATATGCGTCCTGTGTTAATTCAATCGACGACGCACCATATGCGTCCTGTATTAATTCAATCGACGACGCACCGCGTGTGTCTTATGGAGAAATTGATATCGGAAAAATAAGGTGGTACAAGGTGGAATCGATATCGGTTTGCAGTTAAGGTAAGACCCAGTGTCTCGAATGAGTTAATTTCAAGGCGGGGGCAATTTACCTTGGACTCGATATTGGCTTAAAATCGATACTAACTTACCGAGTCGTAGAGGGAAAATTTATTAAACGATCAAGCTGTCGAATTAATTTTACCGTCGGAATCGCGTAAAAACGTTTTAATACCCATACACCCCATGGGAATTCCTTTTATTTTATATTATGTACCGTATATAGGAGAATATATACATTTCGTTCCGGTTGCCGCTCGGCTGAACGCGCTCCACTTTCGAAAAAAGACGATACGCAACCGAGCGGAAGCAAGTCTAATGCAAATTACAGCTCACGTCAGGTGCGATTAACGCGACTGACGTGAATTTATCAACGAATTGCAACTGGGTCCAGCTTTCCTCCCTCGTTCCGCATTCAACCGGGGTTTTAGGAGTTACTATATAAGGTAATATGCGGTTGGTAGAGCAGAGGCTGGTGATAATTTATTACGCCTGGCCTTTGTGCCTCCGAACAATGCACGCGACCGTGCCCACATACCATCCTTCTCTATATCTCCGCACGATAGAGCTGGCTTGAATTATTGCGTGAAAATCGTTTGTCATTTTATAACACGAAAATACCTCGGATAGAATAATATACTAAATCGCTGATTATGAAACACATTTGACGACGTAAATGTTAATATTCTTCGGATAAAAATTGAATGGTAGAATATAACGCTGGCCTAGTTCGATCGCGAAATAAGGATATTAAATGGTACCATGAAAATATACCCAATTTATAGCTCTTCCTGTTCGAGGACAGCATTAGCAAACGAATCTACCGGATCCAGGATATTCAATTTTATACAGCCTGGAACGTAACGTTGATCGAAAGTAATGATCCGCAAACTTGGACCAATCGTTTGCCCAGAATATACCCGGTCCTCGATTCGAAGAGGAAGAGACAGGAACAAGGCTTTAGCATTTGCATTAAATCCACTCCTTGGCGAACTGTTAAGACGTTTCATACTTCAGCAGGTGGATTTATTTAATCTATTTCTTAGAGGATTCGAGGCCTTTGCTGCCAAAATTATTCCACTCGATATTACTCATGTGGAGTCATAGTAGTTGAAAGGTTTAATCTTGAAGAGATATAGGTGTTTCGAAGAACAGATCAGAAGGTAGAAGATACACCGTCTAAGTTTTAGAACAACCGCGACCGGGCGGAAGTTTCACGCAGACCAGACAACGCTATTTCGAATTGTAATTTATGGATCGAACAGAACGATCTTCGAAAATACACTAGATCTCAAAATTATTGGGACACTCTCTTTCCAACAGAGCTCCAGCAATTTTATTTGAAAGTAGTAGGCATTTTTTGGGACAAAAAAGACAGTATTATAATTTCTTCTATTCGGTATTTCAATACTTTTTTCGGCTAAAATACACATCTAGTATGATACCATACTTTACAGTAGATTACAGTAGAACATGTAATTGTTCCGCAGAAAATACCCACTCCCCTTAAGTAATTAAATCTGAAGAAGAGTCGAAAACTTTAATCTTCCAGTGTGAAATTTATAGAGATGTGTTCCTAGAGATTTAACAAGGGTCCTTATACTTTGGGCAGTAGTATAAGAATTTGTGATATTCGTCGCGACAGTCTCGAGAAGTTGTCGAGAGATACCGCATTGGCCGGAAGTAACTCCATTCCAGAAGTGTTTTGCCACGGCGAGGAGCAGTGGACCCAACGAACCCGTCGCGATATCTTTCAAACAGGGACAATAAAAGGAATATCTTGATTTGAAGATTGCAAAGAGCCCGCGGGAAACGGTGCTCGCGTCGGATCTTTTTGGCTCGAACGAGACACGTACGAATCGCATAAATATTAATGAGACCGTTCTAGCCAGCCGAGTTTCCTCAGCCTCGTAAAAGTACGGGGACACGTACCGAGGAAAGCCAATAGTTAGTCGAATTATACAAATTTTCTCGATATCGAATTGTAAGCGTGCAATGAGAAACGAGCGTGCAATTGATTCGAATGGCCGATGCTCGATTAGCATGAACGACGAAATTACAGAACGAACGAACAAACACGACCGACCAATAATATCCTGCTAATTTCTTGCCCTATCGTGTTGGCTAAGACAGGTACGTGGGGAAATTGGAATCGATGGAATCGTGAAAATTTAACACTTTGCCTTGGAAAATCAAATCGCAATGGTGTAAATTACAGTCACGAATAGGTTGTGAATAATGCAAGTAGTAGATTACTATTCTTGCGTATCCTTTACCTTTCGTGCACAATATCATAGTACATACTAATAAATACAGTGGTACCTCGGTATACGTCTGCTTTGGAATAAGTCCTGTTTGAACGTGACAAATTTTGCTCGGTATACGACATCAATTTTTTGTGTGAATTTTGCGTCATTTTTAAATAATTATCTCAGAGGCAAAATTGAATTAATAATCAATTGTATTCGGAGTTGATGTATTATTAACTGATTGGTTATACAAGGATATCATATAACTGTAACCGCAAAACAGGAGGCAATAAAATTCATTCCATTTGGTTTGTTAATTTAGAATCTATTATTAGGTTACATTTATATTTTACGAATTAATTATATTAAATAAACTAGTGAATATTTTTTATAAACTTCTAGGAAATCGTTTAAACGCTGTTCATGACATAAACAGTGTTTAAATTATTTTACAACCCCATTAATATAGGTATAATATTAATAGGAGTTTTTTTTACATCATTTTTACATTACTTCTTATGGGAAAGGTTGGTTTGGAATATGTTCTGTTCGGTATAAGTCCAAACATCAGGAACAGATTAAGATCGTATACCGAGGTACCACTGTATAATAAACGGAATTTTTCTACAAGCGCTGATAAACAATCCTTAAATTCTAATTGAAAATATCTCCAGCGAGTTGTAGCCCAATTTAAATAAAAGCTAGAGACCGATGGAAAGGGTGAAAAGGGTAGTGAGGAAGGTTCCATGAATTTTTATAGTCATGGCGAGGAACGATGGTTTCCCTCATAGTGGTCCTTGAAGTCACGAAATATGCAAATTAATCCGATAATCGAGTTCGCATCGTTTCACCGCGATAACCCTGCCGTCTCTATTAAAGTTTCTCAACGCATACTGGTCGAGAAAATACACTTCCGAGTACTCTGTCGTTTTTTCCCAAACAGGAACTAAAATTCCGGCTGAGAACCGATGAAAAGGAAAAATATACAGAATCGAAGACCAAGAATCTTCCATTGCAGACAGAGGGGCTTAGACAACTGTTGGTCTTCGATGCACAATAGGATGCAAGGAAAGAAAATCTGAACGTGTGATTTTATTGCAGACACGTTTGCGAGCAAGGTGGCCGCCTGCCAGGACAAGTACGCCGACGCGAGTGTGGGGAACGTGACCGGAAGTAACGCGGTGAACGTCTTCCTGGGGATCGGCATCGCGTGGAGCATCGCAGCCATTTACCATGCCTGCCACGGCGAATTCTTTATGGTGGAACCCGGCAAGTCAGTATCGATTCATCCCTTACTTTTCGATATCCTGCTGATACAGGTTGTTTCAACAGATACGTTCTACTTAGTAAACAGAAACTTAAGTTCTTAACAGGGCGGCCGCCTAGGGCCCCCCAAGTTCCAGGACCCCCATAAGACGATTTTGCGTCTAAGAATGCAAGAAGAGTAATGTTTACTTTCTAAATGCAAATCTAAATTAGTTATGCAAGCTTTAATGTTAATTTTTTAAATTTTATTTTAGATACTTTTTTTTATGTCATATATGTGAAGCTTTTTCGAAGCTCGCCTTGGACCCCTGAAATCTCAGGGCCGGCCCTGGTTCTTAACACCGTACACTGGCAAGCAAACGCTATTAAAAATTTCATTAGATATTTTCATTTTTTTTAAATCTTATTTGCTATTTGCCGAATATTTTATTATTTCTATTATCCATCGTTTCAAATATCTAATAAAAATATTTCTAATTAAATAAGTAACAAAATTTGTAATAAATAACGGCTTTATTTGGCACTTCATGTGTCACCCAAATAAGGGTGAAAGAAATCCAATTTAATGAATTCTTTTTCCAAAAGCAGGCACTTTGGAAAACCCTATATTACCTAAATTTAATCAAAACTTTGTCGACTCGCTGCTCACTTCCGAATATCCGGGGTCACACAGCTTGTTCGAAAGGAGATGCAAATTTAAAACTTTAATAAATGGTAACGCGCATTTTGAAACACCCTGTATCCCTTGAATTTAATCATAACTTTCGAGAAGTCTTGTATTGCGTTCGAGGATAAAGAGATAAAGTTGTTCTCGTTGGGGTTCGATCCTCCTAAGTTCTTCCCAGTGAACTTAATGCGCGGGAACTTTCTTACGAGAACATGAACATGAACTCGAATAAACAGAATCGACATTTATCCTTTTTTCGATTTTGTTCGCGGAACGCGCGGCATAAGTTTTAATATATACAGTCACTTTTCGTTTACGATTTGCTTTCCGTTAACCGACGCTGCTCATCGATTTATATATCGAAACGTGACCACTTCCGGCGACAGTACACAGATCCAGAAAATTGTTATCCGTGACGTATCGGCAGGAATATTGTACGGGACGTAATACGCGATACCGATATTTCCGAGACGTCAAATATCGAAGGCGAACGACGGGTTGTTCTATACAGAGTCGATCATGCATGAATTTTTATATTTTTCAAACGTTTAGCGTCCGATTTATGTATCGTGATCGGTAACGATGCAGGTCCGTATCCCAAAATTTGTTGCATCGTACACTAAATACAAATCCAACAAGATTGGACATGCCTTTGTTTTCAAGAAGTGTTAAATTTGTGCCTCAAAAACAAGATCTGTCCTGGTATAAAAATATGAAACACTTCACAGTACAATAGTCTAACATAAGACGGTTGAGTAGAATAAGACATTCTACCTACGGGTGGTCAGACAAGTAGGATTCCACGTTCATAACAATATTGAAAAACGAAAAAATCCCAGATGCTAAGATGTACGGGATGCAGGGGTGTAAGTTATTTCACTGTGAGGTGTGGTAAAAAGAAAGACTAATAAAACAGGCACGATGTGCTATTGTACCGACTGTACTCTGCACGTACAGATCTAACCTCACACGGGGGTTTCTAAAACCCCCCCAAATCATAATCCCTAGAAAGCAAAGGCATGTCTAGTCCTGTTGTATAGTCATTGCATCGTATAAATGGCTTATTGTTAGATACAAATATTCACAGTTTTCAATGAATAAATGAATAAAAAGCAGCCAAAAATTTGATTCGAAATTACATTTGGCAAACAGATTAGCTAAGATGTTGCACTAACTGTTCCTTCACAGCAAAATGACGTTTCATTTTGACATGATATTTTCTTCTCAAACGTTTTTTAGAGCCGACATCTACTCAATAAATACTTACACGATACAGAATACATGCATGCATTGTTTAGATTGCCATGCGGATTGTTACTCACCGGTAATCAGCCATTTCCTATGCAAGACACCATGGATGCGTTTCAGTTCAATTTTCTTTGTAGCCAGCTGCGGTTGTGGTACTGGATATCCTTTGAATTCGAATCTGAATGAATCTCGCCACTGTGGGAAACGTATCCGCGTAGAATCCTAACCAAGTCTTCGTGAAAACTCGAATCTATTGACGCAAAGCTTTTGTGTAAACAGTACACACTTGTACCGTGTCGATTGAAATTACTTTCGAGATTAAACTAGAAATAGTTACTTACTTTGAACAAACAACAACCAAATCCATTAGCTGATGATATAATTGATCTGCGATTCAAACCGCCTTTTCGCACGTTGCATGCGCGGACGCGTCTGCGCAGAGAACAGGAGTGAGGGAAGAGAATTGTACACTGTTGTTCGCAGATGACGCTGTAATGGCGTTTTCAATAATTTTATGTTTTGAAACAGCTTGGCTTTTTCCGTTACGTTGTTCTGCACGGAAGCGTGCCTGGTGATCCTGATTTTACTACTGAGGCGGACAAAGAGTGTTGGCGGCGAACTCGGCGGCCCTTTTGTACCAAAGGTCATCACATCCACGTTCCTTTTTTTCCTATGGGTGTTCTACCTCGTAATGTCGACCCTCGAGGCCTACGGCGTTATCGAGGGCTTCTAAGGAGCCCGTTCGACGCCAAACGTCGGCCTACCTGCTGCGTCTATCTTAAACTCTTACGTCCGCCAAGGCGTGTGCTCAACGAAACGTTCTCTCGGCAAGTATACCATTGATTCTCTGTTTATCAACACTTTTTCATCTTGGAATCCTTGAAAGCTCATTCTCAGCTTAACCACATGACATCATCATTTTCTTCGTACAACACATTTCTGTCTTCAGTTCAGCATCCAGTCACGTGTTCTTCATCAACCAAAGAGGGAATGAAGAGGAGAAGCGAACTTTTTATATCGAAATACTTTTATTTTATCTAATCGATTTATCGTTTTTTCTTTCAGGACAAAAAAAAAAGGAAGGGTGGAATCGAAGGGGTGCGATTTCGCTGGCGAACGAACTCTGTGCCGGATCACCTACTGGTAGCTTTCACCCTCCCATCCGAGGACGATTAACAACGAACGTGATCGCATGATGATTGTCGAATGCCTGCGTGTGCGTACGTACCTGAGAGAGAGAGAAAGAACGCGTGAGTATGTCTGAAAATGTGTAATTTAATTGAATAGTGAACTGTCGGAATTAAAAACGAGCATGAGAGATTATAGAGAGATAGGGAGAATGAACGAATTAGTGAGTTTGCCTTAAAAATAATGTTTAAAAAAGATGAAACATAACAAAAGGACGTAGGTAAAAAAAAAACTCGTTTCCAGTCTCGAGCCACGGCTCATATGTTCACAATTGTTATCGAAAAGAATATATTATACAGGGTACAGTTGTATTCGTGATTTAATCATAGAAGTAGTGATTCTTTATAGAAAATAATGTTGAGGGTATGGACAAACATTTTTTTTATAATCATATGGTAAATGATAGTCGTTTGAATCTCAAATATTTAAAAAGGGATGTTTTCCTCCCACGATATTTATTTAAGATGAGTCTTCATTGATATTTAACAATTTAATTTTTTTAATGAAGAATCATTCCTTTTAAGATCGTACTACGACTACAACCGGCCTCTGTATATGCACATATGCATACATCCACAAACATATACACATACACGTACTAAATAGCGTATTTATTAAACCGTTTAAGGAACACAGGTTTCTATGGTATTTTAATAGCGAATTGTATTGCCATTCCTCCTTCGCCAGAGAACGATGTCGCTAATTTTATATAAACGTATATTATCGAACGCTACGTCATCTGTCAGCACTCCTCGAAATTTTCACGATTAGATTGTATTACAGTATTGCTTTTTCAAGTGAAAAGAGAGCGAGAAACAAGAGGTAAAATCGATAAAACACGTGTTATTACCTTGATGGAATCGTAAATAGAGAATTCGACACTGAGAGAGAGAGAGGTGATACTGTATTATACAGGTTCAAGCGAGAGTGAGGTTCCAAGTGTGTATACGCAGTAGAACGTCGAAGGTGATACTATTAGATGCTGCAAAGTGGGCCTTCCCCCACCATTCCTCATTCACTGCGCAGAACCCACTGCGCAACGACCTTACGTATCTCCCCTCCTCTTTCCATTTCTCCATTCTTTTTCTTAATAATTATGAATCTAAATGGTTCTTATTTATTATTTTTCTATTAGTTTATATTTTTGAAAAATCTCACTCTCGTTTGGCAAAATTATAAAATTCTATACAATCTTAAGGCTACGTTCGGATTGATATAGTAATTTGTAACTATCCTGGCTAGTCCAATGACTGATACAAATTACTATACCAATTTAAATGCTGCCAGCAGAATAATGAGGATGTGTTGGAGATGAAGAGTTGCTACTCAGAAAGATGGATATCTTTCCACTTACATAGTCAGTACACCCATTCCTCGATTCACGCGATCAAAGAAATATAAAATACAAATTTTCTCAACACGCACGCTTCTCTTCCGCGATGTTTTTCTTTTTGTACTACAGAAATCCGATTTACGCGTCAAGAAAAACGTAGAAAGTGTACTTGGCGTGGATCAGGGAAGTGGGTGTACATTGAAATGGGGTCGTCGGATCGTATCGATTTGCATCGCAAAGATCACGATTCGCGACCGTCGATGGAAAATACTATTATAGATGCATAAGTCGACGATGTACGCGGCTAACAGCGAGGCAATGTACAGTGGAAGCGCGAATTTCTCATAGAATCTTTCGTTTCTCTCCCAGAGGAGATGAAACTTCCTTCAAAGGAGTACAGATCGAGAGAAGAACACTTCAGAAGTCGCAGAAATTACTTTCGAACAAACGTTTCCCCCAGAGGTACACTGCGTACTTATCGATCTACTTAAGACCGTCAAAGGATTAAAAATTTGCATACGTTTCGATGGAGGAGCAAAGATATCGCGCGATCTCGATAATAAGCCCCGCTAGCCGCGAAATCGATCGGATTCGTTATCCGACGCGGTGAAACGCGTTTGTTATTTGTTAAGGATAAATAGGTAGGCACGATTGAACGTAATCAAATCATTGCTCGAACGTGAATGTTTTTGTTGGTATTCACTGCCTTTGATCGAGGCTCGCTCGCGTCAAGTAAAAATTAGATAGAATAGAAAGAGGATGAGTTTAGACCAGGCCTGGGCAACTGGTGCTCTTGGGCCCGCGGCTGTTCGCCATCATTCATGACGCAGTAACGTCAGAAGTTGTTAAGAGGAGTAGGAAAACTGCTCATTTTCCTTCCTACTCTTTTCTCATTTGCTCGTTTCATCCCACCATATGGCTAATGCACTTTCAGGCATGGCTTAAGTGTTCGCTCGTGGCTATAAGATAACTGCCCACTGGGCACCTAAATGCCCAGGCCTGTTTTCGATATACGATGTACAAAATGGTTCATGGAATTGGGACGAATTAGTGTAACTACTTCTTTCATTGAAAAATGATGGAGAAAGATGTTAAACAGTGTACCAGGATAAACTTAAAAATTTCATATAAAATAATATAAATTCAGATCATGCAATTCTTTTTTATTACTCTTCAAACAAAAATTATAGCCCGTCCCCGTTCCATGAATCGCCCTGTAGAGTGGTGGTAAAACAGCTTCACACTGTTCGATTCGAAACGTGACGGTAGCCTGTTGGAACAGTTAATTAAAATCGAAGTGGTAGACAATTATCGAGCTAGCTTCTTTATTTTTCTTCTTTTTTTTAACCGTGTTCGAAGTTCATTAAAACATTATCATATTATCGAACGTTAATCACGGTGACTTATTAAACGTTCTCAGTGAGAACAAGCTATTCGATCGATTTCAGCGAAATGTTATGAAAGAGAACAGTCTGAGAGACTGTACATAGTTGATGTTCTTTAGAGATTAAAAAAAAAAATGAAAGAGAGATTTAATCGATGCTGTAAAGGTTGTAACTAATTAACCAATGAAGTAATACTTCGTTTTTTCCGCTAGATCCCCGAAGGGGAATTTTTGAATGAACCTTATGATAGGAGTTTCAACGGATTTGAAAAATTGACATTAGTAGAGGAAATACTGGGGGGTTGAAAAACACGATAAAACCATCGTCGATGGACGACGTTGTCGCGATGCCAGCCAAAGATCACAGATACAGTAGAAGCTCCATTATCCGGATTAATAAAGCGACATAGATACGATACAAAAATAATATAATTTATGTGCAATCGCATAAATCATTTTTATCCGAAGGCTATCAATAAATCTTTCAATACTTCAAATCTAATGACAATCTTGTTACCGATTTTAATTATTGTTTTACAAAGGTGAATTATTTAAAAATCAATCATTCAGATACTGGAGATTCTACTCTATACACATATATGTATGTATAAAAAGAAGAAGTATATAGTGTATGTACGTATACATACAGCATAGATATTTTAATAAGAGAATCGTTCAAAGAGATTTAATATATATATATACAAACACATATGTATAAATATATATATATACATATTTAGTAGGACGTGTATAGACGACACTCAATAGCAAAGCGTTAAAGTGATAAACCGTAAATGGGATCTGAAACGTGGCCGAATTTTCGTCGTTCGATCGCTGGGCGAACGATCTTTCATCGATACACGAGTAAATCGCGAACCCAATTCGAAAAGTGACGTGACAAATAAAATCGTCGCCGATTTCTCTATCGATCGAGCTAACCAACTCGATATACACTATACGCGTGGAAATACGTTCTGCTACCGAGTACCTGATTCATCTTTCGATTTGCTTTCGAAGCAATGATCATTGCGTCTACACTTTAAAAAGGGTTTGTTCACTTACACTTCCCATTCATCAAAATACATGTACACCCATTACACAAAAATTGGACTACATATACGACGCAAACTATGCGTGATGTATAGCCAGTCGCAGAAATATAGACTAATTTTTTTAATTCAAACAAGCAATGAAAAATCAGAATAAAAATGTCGTTTAAGCTTTGTAGAGTCGTTTGAAATTTGTCAGATTTTTGAGGATAAAACGTGTCTTCATTTTTTTATGATTGAGTTGAACCAACGAACCGAGCAAACCTGATCTAGAAACTCGTACACTGCTTGCTAACAGCCACCAAACGTCGATGCTTTTAACCCCTTTGACTCGACTATCTTCGCTAATGGAATCGTTATCATGTTCTTATCTTTCTCTCGTTCGAGGAACGACACCTCCACCGGTGTCACGTCGCTTTTCTCCTTCGAACATTACCGATTCTCGCGAATTGGAAATGGAAATCGTAATGGAAATTCTAGGATGTTCCAGAGTTCTGCGATTTCTTATTAAAGAGTATCGAAGGCACAAAAGATGATTATCAAAGAAATGATTTGATCAAACATGTAATCAAAAATGCTACTCGTACCTCGCAGATCGGATCGTCCAGCGAGCATTACCGACGAGAATTTATGGAAACGGGCGATCTCTCTTCTTCGTGCATTTATTCCAATTACTCTTCATCCAACGAGCAAGTCCTTTCAATTCTATGCTATCAAGCGGACCTGCAACAAAACCAATTCAACCGGTGAATGTTTATGCCACGAATCGAATTGCGCTCGTTTTATTCGCGGAAAACGTCGTTTTTATTTTTTCAAGCCACGCCACTCTTCCTTTCATTCCCTCCTTTTTATCCTGCGTTCTATTTGTTTTTATTCGACATCGTTGTAAAACGTTCGTATAACTAACCCTTGTCCTGATAATCCATTTACGTGACGATATTATATTGTCGGATTAAAAGGAAATTTTAAAAAAAGGGTGCGCTTTCAAAAATAATCCAAACTCTTTGAAAATGTTATTCAGTTTCAAGTCATTAGTTTTTACTTGATAAAGGTTGATCAGCGAATATATTTTAGTATTCATCAGAAAAGTTTATTCTATTAAGCCAAATCTATGCCTACGTATTTATTCTTATTCCTGTAGGAACGTTTAAACAAATACCCTCGCGTTTTCTGTTTCGTGAAAAGTGTGAACGCGTTGTTAAACAAACGTTTGATTCTTGTTTTTTTTTTTTTTTTTTTTTTTTATAACAGCAAATGTTTATTTCGTACACATTTCTATGTGAACAACTGTACGTAGGTGTAGACGGGGCTTCACATTGCATTTTCTTTTCTTTTTCATAAATGACAGTTCGCGAATAAATATTCTTCGCTCGTTATAATAGAATTAAAGCATGACGGATTAAACGGGCTGTTCGAAGTGCCGATTTGTTGATTTGAATTGTTAAATAGGGTAATTGCTTCTAGAGAAGACGAATTAATTTGTCGTTCAACCGAAGGATATTGCAATAGATTTGGCAACATAAAATAAGCAGTGAAAATAAAATCATTAGTATAAATTAGAGAAAAATTAATTTCGCTTATTTTAAAAATAAAAATTGCAATAATTTTTCCAGCAATCTAGTACATTTAATAGAAAAAGATTCTTCCCTATTCACTTTTCATTACTCTAACTGTTCAATGGATACATATTAATTCTGAGAAAATGATACGGTATAACAGGTTAATTAGAGAAATCAATTAGCAAATGTGTATCTCACAATCAATCACGAAAGGAAATCTCGTGTTATTGAAAGTAATGAAAAATTGTGATACTTTCTGGCACTCGAGGCTTCCATTTAATCGGTCGAATTCGCTTATCGTTAATTAAGGTACGTAAAATTAAATAAACGAGAGATAATCCTTAACCCTTTCAAACCTCGTTTCATTTCAACACTTTGGATAATCTCTTCTCTGTATTTATATTAATGTAGATATTACATTATTGTTTATTGATAATTGTTCATTGTTGACTTAAATTTAATGATTGAAATATGACATTAAAGGGTTAATGAACATCCCTTTCGTTCAGATCTAAGGATGTCGTTCCACGTGGCCAGCCCCAGTCTAATTATTTAATTAAATGAAATTGTATTTACAGTCAACGTTGTTAAAATTTCAGAAATATTGGCGATACAAATTAACACGTTTAATGTTCCCTCGAAATTAACCCCTGACTTTAGAATTTTTTATACAAACTTATGGGCTTTTAAAAAATATAAAAAAATACGTTCGATAAAATAAAAAATTTCACTTATACCCTCGACGACCCAGATTTCCCATAGGGAAATATAAAATCCTATATATAATAAGCAAATGAATTGCAAAATACTCTGCAATTTGTTTATACAAATTAGCATGAAACGTGATGCTCGAATTGTTTGCATTGAAGGGGTTAACTTCGACGAAATGCTGTTCAACGAATCGAAATGATCGATTAATTTCGCCAAATTTACACAAATTAGAGGAATCAGAAACGTATCGCAAGTGTGTTCGCGTAGGTTGATTAAATCGAGTAGCCGGATACCAATTGTATTTATACGTTTTTTGTATTTTCTATATACGATAACGATCGGTATACAACAAGTAATTAGTTGAGTAGAGTCAAAGTGATTAGACAAAAGAGGGAGCGATAAGATTTTAGTTTAGAATTGGCATTTGTAGGTTATATAAAATCGTAGGATTTAATTGTTAATTAAAAACAAATGGAACCAATCGTACGATAGATGCAGATTCTTCGAAAGTAAAAGAAAAAACTTTCGTGAAAAAGACTTGAAAAGTAGAATCGTTGTTTAGGGGCGGAGCGTCGGAGGACCCGCCCCTGTCGTCTATTATCGACCAATTATTATGTTCTCACGATAATATTCTATATTTATTCGTGATTTAGTCTTCGTACGTTTAAGTAAAATTATTCGAAGGGAATTCGGTTGTCTTTTAGTGGCAATCGACCAAGGAAGGAATCGTCTGACTTAATATCAGTTGTATCACTGATTAACTTAATTATCTTAAGTGTTATCCTTCTCGAAACAAAAGAGATCCATGTGTTCGATTTTGACTTAAAACTAATTAGTGTGCGCAAGGGTTGAAATAAGTTCGATATTACAAAAAGTATCTGCATCACGGTCATACGCACAGCAAGGACCAGTCGACGAAACCAATACAGAATCAATTAATTAATAACCAATTTAAAAAAAAAAAAAAAAAAAACTGAAACGAAGAATCATCTTATCAATGCAAAACGTCTGTTCTCTATAGTTTCGACTTTCGTCCGTTGATTAGTCAACTTTGTACGCGAAACGACCAACGTTCTACGGAGAACCTTCGATCTGGACCAAAGATAATCAACATTTAGACGCTTAAAAGCGATCACAGTTTTAGAAGAGGCGTGATATGATTTCACGAAAGTATTATAGCTCGCATGAGAGAAATAACATTCCTTTTACCAGCTGGTCTGATAACTCATTCTTCTAAATTCTCATTCATCTACCTGGGCTGGCCATGTCCCTTTGTAAATAAAACCTTATCGAGGTTTCTATTCGATTTTACCAAAAATCCTCTCGCACGTATACACTTTGTCTCTTTCTCGAACTATAACGCGTTAAATGTAACGATGTACTCTATCTATACCTATATACATTATTGTCAGGACTGCGCAACTAGTTGCCCAACTCAGCCACTCACAGTATCATCTCTCCAAGTGGCACCAACTGAAAGTCCATGATTTATTATTAGAGAAGTAGGCATTTTATGAGAAACGGGGGTACCTAACACCTTTAGGTAAACGTTGGAAGTGCCTACTTGTCATTTAGAGAGGTAATACTGTGTTTTCTTCGCAAAACCGCTTAGACCACGCCTCCAGCAGCGCATAGGCCACGCCCTCATAGTCAGCGCGGTGGGGGAACGCTCGAGTGGTGGGGCAGCGCCCCTATGTATACCGCTGCCCGCTTGCGTTCGCGATCATCGACCATACGCGCATCACGGCGCTAGTTGCGCAGTCCTGCTCTTTACTCTTTGATCTACCGTTCGATCTTTGTCTCTAATCACCGCTCTAACAACTCGCACGACACTCGTAGACAGAGGAGAACTCCATAGGACCATTTCGACGTCTCGCTTTCGTCGGGGACGAGGGATAATCTCGCGTGTCCCGCCATCCACCGACGGAAAAGAACGTTTCAACTCGTCTCACCCCCTCGTGACACGATAAATAATACGAGAACGGCGGCGACGAGGGGTGGTCGATACGTTTTCTTGAAACATTTCGTGAACTAAAGTTACACTGTAAGATATAGCGAAACTTTGTAAAGTAGATAGAAACGAAGGAGAAAGAATAAAAAGGGAGATTCGTTTGGAAGGGATGGCCGACCTTTTGAAGGCGCCACCCTTACGAGGAAAGAGGTCGGATGATGCACATTGAAATCCGAGTTTTGTATCGTAAGAGAAACATACACAAGTAAACTCGCTCGCCAGTAGAAATGTAATACACACGTGTACATATATTATATGTATATGTATTGTTGCGTTATTGCCTAACGTTTTAATGATAGGTACGTTAATAACTCTAACGAGAGAATTGTAAAACCTTCTTCCTCCTTTGCCGTCAGGAACGTCTGTCCGATGATTAGGATGACTGTAGAGTATATATATAATAATATATACATATATAAATAGTTCTATTGTAAATAGATGATGAAGGTTGCTGATTTTAGTGAAATTAAACGTGTCGTCGACTAGAAATTAATTCGTTGCCTTATAACATTTGTAATTTAACTTGTTTATAAATATTTTATTATTTAGTTTTCAAACTCTCAAGCTTTTATTTTTAAACATACTGAAGGAATATAGGATTTTAATTTTTTTCACTGAATGGTGTCTATCAAATAAAAAATTTAATTACTTACTGAAATTAATTTATAATCTTGTGAAATATTATTTAAAAGTTAGAAACATTTCCCTTTTCTCGTCGACGAGGCGAAAATTCGTCGTTTTGTTGACCGTTTCCTCGCAGGTCGTTCAGAGGCCTCGAATATTCTCGCTGTTCGATCGTTTACTAAGATCCACGGTGGACACCATGGTCCCATTAGCGCGTAAGAATTCCGATAGTTCTTAAGCCATAGCGAAGATAAACCGAGAAGTTCAATGCAACGGTGAACAATGAAAAGATAAGAATGTTGAGATTAACACGTTGACGGAATACTTGAAACAATTTCTCATACCATATTATCATTTTTCTGATGATGGTTGTGAAAATTTATAAAATTAATATTATAAAACCTCTTCACATTCTCTGAAAACAATCACCCTTTCTCATCTTATTTTTTTTAAATAATAACTATTAATAAAATGATTTCTATAGCAGTCAACGTGTTTACCAACAAAGAAAAGGAGAAAATAAATACAGAAATCCAGCTGTTCTTTCCGCTCTATCTTCGTCGTCCTTTTATCCAGTTTTTCTAGTCTCTCGTCTCCTCTAACCAAACCGATCAATCTATCAGGATGTTGCTTCGGTTCTTTATTAACCCATTTGCATCGATAAGTGAAATATACAATACTCCCCTTCGCTCTGTGTATTCTAGATAAAATCAACCTATTTTCACAGATTCGACGACAGACTACAGAAAAAATGATTTCTGTTCCGGTTCTTGTATTTTGCACGAATCTTTAACCACGACCATTAATTTTAATATTCGTGAATAATAGCAGCTACACGCCGGTAGTATTTCATTCCTCGATGTAAATGGGTTAAATCTGTACGGACGATCACTCTGCTCCTCGTTGCTCCTTGTTTTTGTTCGTCCCCTTTTTCCAAACCCCACCCACCGCTTCGACGAAATTCCAAAATTCTGTTGGTACGGTTCGATCGGTCGCACGGGAACCTCCATTAGCCGAGACATTCTCACGGTACAACGAAATGCGATTACGTTTACATTCGCACGATTCTATATCAGCCGAATCAAGAGACACTGTTTGACTAACCTAGTGACAGACTCGTCATCGTGGCAGCAAGGTCGATACTCGTATAATCGGTGACACACCGCTCATGGAAAGCTCTTCTATTTATTTTTTAATTAAACATTGGGAATGAAGAGCAATTAATCTGACCATTGTAATATAGTAATATAATAGAGTATAATATACAATAGAAACGCATAGACTATTATAATATTGTAGTATAGAAATGCATAGACTACTATAACATAGTAGTAAATAAACTAGTAACAGTAGTATTCACAGCCGACTCTAGTACTAGCCGTGCTGAAGTAAAAATGGCAACACTGAATATATCAACACCTACCCTAACTCTATCTGCCTCCCGGACTCCCAGACTCTCAGCCAATCAACGTCGTCAGACTCCCGACTACTCTCTGGACTTCACATAACCTCTTTGGTTTCGTTCCAATAATTTCGCTTGTTTCAAGGTTTTTATTAACTTATATACACGTTTATCAATTCTTAAATGTTTCAATTTGATCCAAAGATGGTTTCATTTTGCTTCATACCTAAATTTTCTTGAAACCAAATTCAACACCAAACTACTTTGAGAGTACACAAAATATATATCACATTTATAACAATTTTATACTACCACATCACTTCTATTTGCCATACTTGCAACGTTTATATATTGTTTATACATAATTAACACAAAATAGTGTATATTACTACAGCTTTTAATTAAAGAAGACGTTAAGAGTCCGAGCATAGGACTCTGTTTTTGAAAATAGGACTCCCGATTGTCACGTGAGCGGTGTTGCCACGTTGTTCAGCATAGCTAGTACTAGAGTCGGTTGTGTAGTATTGCAACTACCATAGTAGGGTGACTACGTTGGTAAGCTATATTACTATAGTACGGTAGCAAGTAGATTACTATAGTGATATCCATCGACTGCTATAATAGAATGGTTGCTATTAAAGTAAAGTACTACTATGGTAAGCTATAGTACCTCGACGCATAGAGTACCATAGTAACCTAAAGTAACTATCCCAATAGAGTAGCTCTGGTAATTTATATTACTATACTACAGTAACACATATAGTCTGCTATTAAAAAATAGTAAAATTCTAAATAGTCCACTTGCGCCGTTTAATTTGAATCCTTTCAACAAAGTTCGTCTTATAAGGATAATTCTTCCTTCCATCCCAAAGTTTTTCACTTTTATTCTTCATTATATCAGGCCAAACAAAGTCGTTTCTATAAACCGCATGATGGTTCTTCTTAAGATACATCTCGACAGGAGGGAATCTTTTGAAGAGACGTCTAAGTAGATAGCCTCTCGAAACGGTTGGATTCAGGGAGAGCACGAAGAAGCAACGTTATATCCCATTATGCGAAAGTATCGATCTCGGTTGCCTCCTTTCTTCTACTATATCAGCGAATCAAGCTTTATCTTCCGTCTTCAATGTATAATTCCTGTTGTACAGAAGAGCGAGAAACGGCCCGATAATTGGCCGTTCGGTAAAAATTGTAAAATCGTTGCAACACGTTAAAGCCGTTTCACGCCTACGCTCATTATTAATTATTACTATTATGATTATTATTATTACCGGCATTAATCGTGCCGTCGATTCGTCGTTGGTCGTTTGCGAGCATCCGACGAGACGGGATGGAGAAGTTGAAATAGAAAATTGGAGGTCTCGTGGCGAGTAAACGACGAAAGGACGAAACAACGTGTTAATTGTTGTTGTACGATCTCGTTGAGAAGCCCTAAGAAAATAGAGCCGAGGAGCTCCTTGCGAAATAGGGAAAATCAGAGTGAAAGAGGAAGAAAGAGAGGGAGAGAATGAGAGAAGAATGTGAGAAATAGAGAGAGTGATGGAAGACCACTTGCCTTCGAATGCAACGAGAAATCCTTTCGTAGAATATACATATATCAAAGTGAATATTATCGTAGTTACCGAATGATCTTTGAATTCATTCATTTACAGAAATTCACTATTTTAGACACGAAGTTTAAAGGGACAGGCTAGGCGGTGTGGATCGGTTGAAATCGTTGTACGATCTCGTTGCTCGATCGCGAGTGGATCGTGCGTACCGTAACAACATTACGCACGACCGACTAAGAATCAATCAACTGTAAGTGAGTCGAAAGTGCAAAATATACAGACATTAAATGTTATTTACACCAGCTGACTGTTTATTCGAAACGATACACAAAAAGTGGTTCAGAACTGAAATTTAGTTATTTAAGCTTTGAACTGAATAGAATAAT